GAGGGCACTGGCTGGGTCTTCTGGCCCCTTTGTTCCCCTCTGAGGACAACTCCCTGGCCTCCCACACTCACTCTGTCTCTGACTCTGGCCCCCTCTGGTCACCTACCATTTTTATGCGGTCCGAAGTCCCTCTGGCACGCTGGAATGGAGCGACCCGTTATCACTCCCCCGCTCTCCACATCCTGCGATGGATTCAAATCAGCCGCTTGCCCCCAGATCCCTCCACCAGAAGCCAAGTCTTTCTCCTGGTTTTCTGCAGGGACTGGCATCCTTCCCTGCACACAGGATGCATGTCTGGCCTCCTTAGTCGAAAGCCAGTTATTAGAAAAAGAGTCAATTAAAATATTACCGCTTTGGGGCCTCTTTGTTAATCTCGCCACCCCTCCAAATTGTTTTTCATTATATTTGGGTAGAGTAGAGAAAAGTGCTTACTTGATGGAACGTGTTTACCAGGTAAGCCCACACAGAATTGTCTAGAAAAACAGTGGAGTCGAGAAGGTGATAGGGGTGGCCTGCTCTGGTGAGGAGAGTGTGGGGTGCTCAGGAACAGCCAAGAATGTCTTGGGGGGTCATTGCCCCATCAGGTCTGCGCCGGGTCACCAGGTGTTGCTTTGGTCCTTTGAAGGCAGCAAGCAGGGCAGGGAGCTGTCTAGTGGAAGGTGGCAGTGTGGGTGGTGCCCTGCACATGCAGCTCCAGGCCACTGGGGAGGCCATTTGCCTGAAGAAAAAGAGAAAACTAAGAAAAGCGTCTTTTATCTAAATTTGGGTATAGTAAGTGTGGAAGGAGCCGGCAGGAGGGTCTGTAATTTAGGGAAGGGGTGTGGTGAGGAGGAACTGGTGACCTCGTGCTGCCATTTGGACTCACATAATTCGGGCGTTGGTGGGGAGCCCTAGAGACAGGGAGATTCTCAAGGCCAGGACCCAGCAGAGCTCCCAGGTTCTCAGATGGCAAGGCTAGTATCAGTGGCCAACAGAGTTTCTCAGAATGTGGCATCAGAGGCACCGTGTCTTTCTTTCGAGGATTTCCTTTGGAGGTCCTCAGCAAGGTCGAATTTGAAAGGCAAACAGGCAATTCGGGGGTTATCCAAGCACCTAAGTCTTTGCTGGAGACGAAAAGACTCTCTGCGTTCTCAAAACTGCTTGATTCTATTTGGTCAGAAATGTATACATACAAAAATGTCCTCCACAAGCTGAGAATTGCTGAGAAATTTCAGCCCAGAGTGCATTAGCCTGAGATAATTATCAGCATTGAGGGGAAAAAAGAAAGCTGCGTATGATAAAATGTCCCAATTATGGCGACAGTGTCAGTTATTCCCTCAGAATCTATGTCTTTATCCCATCATCTTGTCTGGCTAATGAATGCGACCAAGGCGATCCTCTCCCATTATTGCTCAATAATGGGCAATGGAGATGGCGTATCTTCGCCTTTATTTTTGCTGGCACATCCAGGCACTGAAGCACATTAAGGTAATAAAATTAGGCGGCAAGGCGTCCTAGTCACTCCCACCACGTTCCCGTAACCCCCTCATTTACAACAGACTGAGACAGAAAGGAATTTTTTAGAGCAATTTGCGATGAGGCAACACTGGATATGTAAATTCTGTTCTATTGGCAGTCACCACTGCTGGCTCATTCTAAAACGCCTAAGAGCCTTTGGTTCGCCAGCCATGCTGGGTCAGGACAATTCAGTTTTAAGGCCACAGGGAGTCGGGGGATGTATAATTGCAAGTTTCTTCAGTGTCTTACGTTGTGGCGGAGCAGACATTGTCCCGCTCTTTCTGGCCAAACGTTCCGTCTCAGTTGCAGATCCGAGAAGGGGCCTGTTAAGAAGTTTAAGTTTTTACTGAGTTGGATGACTAAGGCAGTTTTTATTTTTTTTTTGAAAAATTTATGGCTCCTATCCGCTTTATTCCCCCTAAAGAAGTAGCTGCCAGGGTTCAGGAAATAGCGAGAAAAACAATTTCAAGGGAAATCGCTGACTTGAGTTTGAGACCAGAGACGGAGCAGGCGGAGAGCGCCGCGTGATATGGTTACTCGGCAGATGCCACGGTGGAAAGAGGTCACTGCAAGAAGGGCCCATTCCAGAGGCAGCACTTGTTGAGGGGCGCGTGACCAAGACACCCCTCACCGGGACCGGATGCACACACTCAGGAGAGATTCTACACATACACAAGGCGTGATAAGAGGATTCGAAAGGTTAGAGAGACGGGAGGAGAAGCGAACACAGTTGCCCCACTTTGCAGAACTGATTTTACACTTTCCTGTGCTTCATGTAACTACTATAAAAATAAGAGGTTTACAAGCTGCAGAGCAAGTCAGGACTGGCCGAAATATGTGTCCTTGCACTTTCTTCCGGCTCCCCCTTCGCTTGGCTTGACTGTGCTCCAGCCTGCAGTAGTTAAGAAAGTCCCACGGTTTAAGAGGGTTCCCAGGTCATCAGCCACTGAGAGTTTTCTCTAACTCAGCTCTATGCTTCCCCTTGCTACGAAACAGGGGCAAAGAGGAAAAGGGAGTGGCCTTCAGAATGGCCATAGGGTGGTGGGACCCCAAGGTGGGGAACAGCTTCAAGGCAGGGAGGGGCTGGGTGCTTTTCAGGACCCATCTGCAGGGAGCTGTTGTGGCCACTTGGATGTATGTGTCATAACTGTCCACTTTCCACACTTCAGGCTCCCAGCACCTTCAAAGACACCTGGGGAGATTCTCAGACCCTCCCCTCCAACAGGCAGAGAGGAAATTAGTGCTGGCTTGGGGAGGGGGAAGTGGAAGGGATGTCGGTGCACAGGCCCAGAGCTTAGGGACTCTGAATTCAGTGATCTGGGTCTACTGGTGCCCCTTCATATGCAGCAAGGTCACCAATAACTGTGTTTATGGAGCTGTATTTATCACTTGGGAAGCCCTGCAAGTCTTCCTACCAATGGATCGTCCAATTGGGGGTTCACATCACTTTATCTTACACATTGACAGTAATGCTGGTGGCACCAGCCTTATCTGTTGCCCAAGATTGGATGAAGGCTGGACTTCTCACAGCATGATTTCTGACCACCAGCATTGTATCACTTTGGAGGAACATGTTAAAAATTCAGATTCCTGGGCCCCATGCATGACCCACTGAATCAAACTCTGTAATTTTTTTTTAATTAAGATTTTAACTTTCTTTTATTTTGTATTTAGGTAAACCTTATTGCATTAGGCTGTTCTTGCATGGTTATAAAGAAATACCTGAGACTGGGTAATTGATAAAGAAAAGAGGTTTAGTTGGCTCAAATTCTGCAGGCTTTATAGGAAGCATGGTGCTGATATCTGCTCAGCTTCTGGGGCAGCCGAGCAAAACTCACCATCGTGGTGGAAGGCAGAGGGGGAGTAGGTAAGTCCCGAGACCAGAGCAGGAGCAAGAGAGACAGGGAAGCGCCACACCTCGTAAACCACTAAATCTTGCAAGAACTCACCATAGAGAGGAAAACACCAAGGGGATGGTGCTAAGCCATCATGAGAAATCCACCCCCATGATCCAATCACCTCCCATCAGGCCCCACTTCCCATATCGGGAGGTGATTGGATCATGGGGGTGGATTAAACCTGAGATTTGGGCTGGGACAAATATAAAAACCGTTTCACTTATATTCAGTAAAGTACCTGTGGGAAGCAGAAAAGTTCCTTTTTAAAGTTTCGTTTCTAGTTAAAAAACAAGTGTGCTAGTAGCTCTTTGTTAAGCCCTATCCTGTGTAGCCGTTAGACATGCTATGCTCACAGGCATGTAGTACGTTCTATTTCCTTGTACTTTAACCAAGGTATCTGTGCTGAACATGCTCACAGGCGTGTCCCAGTTCTCCACTGCTTTTACCTGCTTAGAAAAGTTCTAAGTTGTTAGCCAGGTGGGTTTTAGTTTAGATCGTGAGGTCTGGCTCCAACCAATGGAGATCAGGCACAGCAGTAGGGACAACCCCAAATGCGTAAGGGATACATTTGTGTGTTTTCCTTTGTTCACTGTACTCTCGTGGCACAATGGCTAGTGAGAAAACCCTTCCTGCAGTCCAGAAAGTAAAAACTGCATTACTGAAAAATCCTTTGTCTCAGTGCTAATTTTTCTTTGTGGCGCCAAGCATCTATTTCCGACAGAACCCAAACCTTAAGACTTTTATCACTCAAATAGAACCATGTAGCCACCATGCAGATTAAGACATAGAACAGCATTGGCACCACCCAGAAGTCTTCCTTCTGTCCTTTCAAGACAGTAGTCATCTTCCAGTGACATCTGCTGTTCCGACTTCCATCATCATAGAGAAATTTGCCTTCTTATGCTTGAACATTGCCTACACTGAATCATGGTATCTTAATCTGGTATCTTTCTCTCAACATGTGTGTGAGATGCAGCCACATTGTTGCTTGTATGATAACTAATTCTTTTCTATTGTGGTATAGTATCTCAAGGCATGGATACACTACACTGATGCATTTATTCTACTCTTGATGGTATCTGGGTGGTTTCCAGGTTTTAGCTATTACACCAAAGCTGCTAAGGATATTTGATCCTCAGAGAGGATGGAGAGATAGAGGGAGGGAAAGGGCATGTCTTTCTTTTTCACCTTTGGTGATGAAGGGAGTTCCCACTGCTGCTCCTTCTATCTGTGAACTGCTGCTCAGAGGTCCAGTGTGGCAGGAAGTGGTGAGGTGGTGGGGAAGGCAGAAAGAAAATGCTCAGTGCAGTGCGTGTGTGCGTGTGTGTGTGTACGTGTGCATGTGCGTGTGTACGTGTGCGTGTGCATGTGCGTGTGTGCCTGTGTGTGTGTGTGTGTGTGTGTGTGTCTGTTGGGTGTCCTCTCCCCCATCCCCTACATCCACTGCCAGCTCCCCGTTGAGGCTGGTAAAATGGTCTCAGGAGGATTTTCGCAGTGTTATGACCATTCTTATCAACCTATAATGATTTTGCATGTGCACATTGTGGTGTTGGCATTTATAATCGTGAGACTGGCTCAGATGGAAATCTCTTTCTCCACTTGTAGGCTGGTTATGATGGTGAGAGTATCGGAAATTGCCCCTTTTCTCAGCGTCTCTTTATGATTCTTTGGCTGAAAGGTGTTATATTTAATGTGACGACAGTGGACCTGAAAAGGTAAGACAAGCCATCTGCTTTACTGAAATAACTGTAACCTGTTCGCTACACACATGTGCGTGCAGCGCGCACACACACACACACACACACACACACACACACACACACAGTGAGACCTGAGGCCCTCGGTGCTCTCATGGGCATGTCCATCCTCAGTCAAAGACTGAACTGAAGCCCGTGTGTGGACCAAACTGAGTCAAGACACGATCGGCTGGGTGGTAATCAGGAAGAGGTGGGAGCTGGGGGTGCCATGACGAACCTGCTCTCCCAGTTGCTGGTCAGCTGTGACTCTCCCAAGCCTGTCTGAGCACCGTTCCTGGCTGATAACACTAGGGAGAATTAACTTATTCACCTCCATTGATGTGCCCCTTTGAGCTCCGTTTTCACAAAGGAACATATCAACACACCTATAATTTGTCAATGAATGCCTTTACTTTCATCACCAGCAAGATATTTTTGTGAACCCACAATCTACTTTGCATTTCTCAAGAGTTGCTTCTCTTAAATTGGGGAGGACATGGCTCAGCCCTGGAAATGAGTCCAGATTCTCATGGTGGCCTATAAACACTGCTGCTCCTCCCACCTAGGAAACCCGCAGACCTGCAGAACCTGGCTCCTGGAACAAACCCTCCTTTTATGACTTTTGATGGTGAAGTCAAGACGGATGTGAATAAGATCGAGGAGTTCTTAGAGGAGAAATTAGCTCCTCCGAGGTAGGCGTCAGAAAACCTGTGTTCATAACTTGATTGTCAATTTCCCCACTAACAGCCAGTTCTAAAGCTGTAGGCAGTGTGTGTGTGTGTGTGTGTGTGTGTGTGTGTGTGTGTGTGTGTGTGGTTTTTCTGCAGCCCATGGCACTCACTTCCTTAATCATATCCCAGGTATAAATAGATTAGAGTTTGGGGGCCTGGACTTCATTGTGCTGCACCTGCAGCCTGGCAATCAGGGTTTGATGGCCGGAAGTAGGAAGAGATGGGTCCACGGTGGGTGGCTGGCTATATCCTTGACGCCCTGCTGGAAGCTCTGGGTATGTGTTAGGTCGAAGTATCATGGATTGCTGGACCTCAGAGGAGACATTTCCAGTCTATCCTTTTCCTAGGGGGACCTGAGACCAGCAAGGCCAGGTGGGGTTCTATTCCCAGGACTGGCCGCTGCCAGGAAGCAACAGCAGTAACAACCAAAACCCTCTCAGTCCAACGCTGTTCTCCTGGATGGTGTCACTTCACAACCCTCAGGAGAAAAGGGTCAGGGAAACATGGAAAGAAAGCTTTTCATGTTTATATCCACCCAGAGAAAGCTGTTTTTCTCCATTGTATAGTATTATCTTAACTAAAACATCGTTTGTCTGTGATCCTCCAATTTTGAACTTTTCAAGGTATCCCAAGCTGGGGACCCAACATCCCGAATCTAATTCCGCAGGAAACGATGTGTTTGCCAAATTCTCCGCATTTATAAAAAACACGAAGAAGGATGCAAACGAGGGTGAGTGCCTCCTATCCTCCTGTTTTCTGTTTCAGCATGGACCTTCACTCGAGCCTTAGCACAGCGACTCATAGGCTGCTGGGGTGTTCCAACCCATTTCCCAGCGGGTAGAAAAGTGAGTCTGGAGATGTGGAAAAACTGCCGCCAACTTTGAATCTGCAAGTGGGCTTCAAGAGATGGAAGGCTGCTTCTGAGGCTGGGAACCCAGAAAACAATGTTTTTTTTTTTTTTTTTAAAATAGTCACCGCGTGGTGTTCCAGTCACACCATGGGAATTGTATTCGATGATGCTTCTGCTAGGGCCTGACTCCTCACGGGCTTTCCATAAGTAGTTTTGAATAAATAAATGACTTCTAGGAGTAGCAATGTTGGGTAGAGAGCAGCGTGATTTCCAGGGAGGAGCGGGTCCTTTATTTAGGTATTCTACATCCACATCCTGCCTTCCCAGCACCCATTGCTGGCTGGTCACGTCTCAGCGAGGAAGGGAAGCAAACTCCTTCCATCGTAGCTGGTGACAAGTGACATGCACTTGCAAGACTTCTCTTTGTGATTTCTTGCCTTTCTGTTTTAGTTTATGAAAAGAACCTGCTGAAGGCCCTGAGGAAGCTCAATAATTACTTAAATAGCCCTCTGCCTGATGAAATAGACGCCTACAGCACGGAGGACGTCGCTGTTTCCGGAAGGAAGTTTCTGGATGGGGATGAACTCACGCTGGCTGACTGCAACCTCTTACCAAAGCTCCATATTATTAAGGTTCGTCTTCCCTCCTCTGACAGGTGTGCCGAGTACATGAACCGGGCTCTGTTTTATTCTGTTTTCACCTGTGTTTGGGCCAGATGTTTAAACAGTCTGCAATGTGGAGACTTGGATTGAAAATGCTAGTTCATTTCCGTTCGAGGCAGCCAAGCCCCAGCTTTTACACACATAGAAGATGGGCTTCGGGTGTTCTTGGGAGGTGTCTGGGAACGTGGCCCCACCTTCTGCTTCTCTCTCAACCTGACTCGCACAGCCTAAAGAGAGGTTAGGTGAAAGCAGCTTGAGGAATTTCATAGATTCTACCTGGGATTGGAGATGAGGTGTGGAATCTGGGGCTGTTCAAATGTGAACTCAGTCAACTGTTGGTGATTGCAGGGCTCCACATGGCCCTTTCCAGGGATAACAGAGGATTGTCCTGTTAGCTCTTAACAGTGACCCTTGGCCAGGTGCAGTGGCTCATGCCTGTAATCCCAATGATTTGGGAGGATCAGGTGGGAGGATCGCTTGAGGCCAGGAGTTCAAGACCAGCCTGGACGACATAATGAGACCCCCGTCTATATACACATACATATAAAAATTAGCTGGGCGTGGTAGTGTGTGCCTGTAGTCCCAGCTACATGGGAGGCTGAGACTGGAGAATCACTTGAGCCCAGGAGTTTGAGGCTGCAGTGAGCTAAGAAGGTGCCACTTCACTCTGGCCTGGGTGACAGAGTACGACCCCATCTCTAATTAATTATTTATTTAAAAAATTGACCCTCAACATCCAGGAAGCAGCTGGCAACTTTCGGCTAAGTCCCTATGTGTTTTGTTCCCTCCCTTCCCATATAGCAGCTGCACATGATTTGAGAGCCATGAGTCATGTATTATTAGGCCTTAAAGACCTCCCGGACCCGTGGGTCTCCAACGTTAGTAGGCATACAAACTGTTTGGGGAGTTTTTTGTTGTTTTTTTTTGAGACGCAGTCTTGCTCTGTTGCCAGGCTAGAGTGCAGTGGTGTGATCTCGGCTCACTGCAACCTCCACCTCCTGAATTCAATTGATTCTTCTACCTCAGCCTCCTGAGTAGCTGGGACTACAGGTGTATACCACCATACCCAGCTAAGTTTTGCATTTTTGGTGGAGACATGTTGGCCAGGATGGTCTCGATCTCTTGACCTCCTGATCCACCCACCTCAGCCTACCAAAGTGCTGGGATTACAGGCATGAGCCACTGTACCTGGCCCTTTGGGGAGCTTTTTAAAAATGTGAGTCCCCGGCCCACTGCCTGCCCTAGTAAATCAGAGCTGCCGAGAGTGACCCCTGGAGCTCCAAGCAGATGTCCCCGCACTCGGACTCTGTAGTTGTTGCTGGTTCTTAGCACCGCAGGGCTCCCAGCCGCTCTATCATTCATAGAAGTCGAATGTGATTCTTATGATCAAGATTTCTATGTCCTTGGCCCTTAGCAGCTCCAGATACCTCATGAAGAAGCCCATGCCTTGCTGTGGGGCATTTTTATTATTACAATCCTGTCAGGGCCAGAACCAGGTTGTTGGTGTAAGGGTAGGGGAGAGAAACACAGGGAAAAATAAGTCATAGACTGTGTGTTCTAATAACACATTTAGTTAGCGTTTAGAAATTACACATTAGCGGCCAGACGCAGTGGCTCACACCTGTAATCCCAGCACTTTGGGAGGCCAAAATGGGCAGATCACTTGAGGACGGGAGTTTGAGACCAGCCTGACCAACATGGCAAATCCCCATATCTACAAAAATTTTTAAAAATTAGCCACGTGTGGTGGTGGGTGCCTGTAGTCCCATGTATTCAGGAGGCTGAGGCACAAGAATCACTTGAACCCAGGAGATAGAGGTTGCACTGAGCTCTCACTCCAGCCTGGGCAATAGGGTAAGACTCTGTCAATACAAATAAACAAACAAACAAATGAATAAATTACATGTTAGCTTCACACAGCCTATGGCGCTGAGGCTCCTGCGGACTCCCAGCCACCCCTGCTGACTCTGCTTCATTCTTTTGCCTTGTCTTCCTGCATTTCTTATTTCTGTCCTCTTTCCCTCTAGTCCTGGCCACGTTGCTCCCTTCTTCTCCCTTCCTTCTTGTGCTTGAGGATGCCGTCTTGAAATGCAGGCCTGCAGGAGGTTGCTGATTCCTTGGGCAGGTGTCTCTTCAGTAGCTTTGCCAGTCCACAGACATCCAAAATTGAATGAAATCATCTACACTCCTCAAAACCTGCTAAATCTGGGAGCTGCCTTCTAACAGGGTATTTATGCAGTTGTAGTTTCTTCGAGTCCCTTTTGGTAAATGCTTTTTAGTCCCTACTGTGGCCAGCATAGCATTGCAGAAATACATGGAAGTTGAGGAATAGGGGAGAAATATCCCAGCCGTAGACCATTCATGTCCCCTCGTTTGGCTCCAAGAAGAAAAGATGATTTTAAATCTCAGTAGAAAGGGGAAGCTTCAGAATAAGAGATAGCAGTTCACGGCTCCACTGTAAGACGCAGCAGCAAAATCTACAAAGCCATTTAGCACTCAGAATACCCAACAGCTTAATGACCTTCCAGGATGGAGTACTTCTGAAAGGAAATGAGAATCAATCTAAGAGAATTATGGTAAAAGTGTGTGTGAAGGGATTTATAATTTATTCCCCTGCCTGAAACCCAGCAAAAACAATATAAAAATAGGGTCTTTCCTTCATCTTTTGTAAAACTACTAAGGGAAGGCAGACGGACAACTTAGAGTAGGAGGCTTCTTTTGGTGGGAGCAGCCACAGACCCATTACATGTTTCTTTGTATCTGTAGCAAAGTTCCTATTTCTCAAAAGGTGAAGAACACAGTCCTGAAATGCCCCACTCAAACTTCTTTGCTTGAGGACTAGAGCATGAGATGGGCCAGGAGGGAAACAGGGAACATCCCTGTAGAGACAGTTGTTGAACTGAGATCTCTAGGGAGGCAGACTTGAAGGAGCTACACAGAGGTGCCATCGGGATGGGCTGTGACCCAGCCCCGAATCCAGAGGAGCAGTATCAAGGGGAGGTAAAGTGGGAGGAAGGAGGGGAAGTGGCATTTTGCATTGTGATTGCGGAGAAGACAGAAACTAGACCCAACCAAACAAGAGAGAGACTACAAATTGCCCAAGTTTCATTTTCAGCCATGGTGGCCTTCTGCTTAATCTGTGAGTCTCAGAGCGGAGGATGCCCCAACCCAAACCCTAACCCCAACCCTAATCCTAACCCTAACCCTAACCCCAACCCTAACCCTAAGTCACCCAGCATGCGGTACTTTGTAATGGCAACCCTAGCACACTGGTTCAGTCCCTAGTGCTCTGCACATCGTCGTGACTATTTCCCCGACTGTACCCCTCTTGCTAGAGGAAGCGTCTCACATCACTGTGTTTCTCGTGGTGGTGCTGTCTCTCGATTGCTCTTTCCTTACACCCACCATCCCCATGGGGGTAAGGATTTGCATCTGCTTTGTTATCCTCCCTGCAGGCAGGCCCCACAATCAGACGATGCTCTTAGTGGCAGCATGATGGCATTCAGGAGGAATAGCATGCACAGGGGTTTGGAACTGGAGGAAGTGAGGTTCAGCAAGTAGGAAGAAGAGAGGGCACCATTTAAATGGCAGATCCACCATGCATCTATATTCACATAGCACCAAATAACACAGTAGCACAACATCTGGAAAGAAAATCACAGGCAGCACAAGGAGAAATCCACCAGAGTCCAGAATATACTCGTGCCAGTGGATCCCAAGGCCTGTCTGTGACAAATTGGTAGACAGAACTATGTGCAGCCGGGACGGTCGTGAGTCCGGGATGTCTACAGCACTCCCTACACCCAAGGTGGCCCAATGCAAGTCAAAATGTCATGGTGGGTAGCCCGGATGACTGTAGGATGACATGGGAAGCTGAGAGAGAATGTATTACATGGCTCAAAAGAATGGACCTTTTGATCTGGGAACCTGCCTTAGTAAGTTTTCCCTTTACTGATCATTTTCTCTTCATTTTCAGATTGTGGCCAAGAAGTACAGAGATTTTGAATTTCCTTCTGAAATGACTGGCATCTGGAGATACTTGAATAATGCTTATTCTAGAGATGAGTTCACAAATACGTGTCCGGCTGATCAAGAGATTGAACACGCATATTCAGATGTTGCAAAAAGAATGAAATGAAACTGGGCTGTTCTCTGTCTTATTTTTCAGTTGAATGAGCACGGATACAAAAAGAGTGTGTTCTGTGCATTCCCCCAAATAAGTCCTTCACAAAATAACATGTGTAGTGGGACCCACTCAACCCTGAGTGATACATGGCCCTGTAATTTGTCAGCTCACTTGTGTATCTGAATATACTAGTATCTGTTGTTAGACACACCAGTTGCCCAGATTATGTTAATTTATATCTGACATTGGAATCTATGATACTTAGGGCATACAATTTTCATTTTAAGTTTTCATTTTAATTTGATTTTCATTTCAAATTAGGTTTGGGTTCGGTTCCTTCAATTTTTAACAGAAACTGGTATGTCTCTGAAAGTTTTTATAATCATTGGTAGCCTTTTTTTCTCTAAAACATTAATTTTTTAAATGAAAATACTGTTTTGTAATTATAAATGGAGACACACCTGTCTTAATATTTTAAAGCACTATCAGAGGGTATAAAGAAGGACATTTAAAAAAATCACCTAAAATGTCATTCCTCTTAATGATAACCTATTGGAGAACATCTTCTAAATCTTCAGTATCTCATTTGTTCTCTCTCTCTCTCTCTCTCACACACAATTTCATTCATATATGGCATTGCATTATTTTACTTTAAAGGACTTGTGAGGGGGTCTTTTGGTAATGCCTTGATGATCATACACAGAGGACTTAAACCGTACAAAAAGATTGGTCACTGCAGTGCCAGAGAAGATGCTTGAGGTTAGATTTCAAGGAGTGGGGAATTGTGGAGCCCGCAGGGGTGCATGCAAGGACGAGCAGGAACCGGAAGCCCTGGATCACCCTCGCTCTGCCTCACTTCTGCTCCAGGATGCCACTGCCTCTGCTGCCAGGAAAGGCAAGGAGGAGTATGCTTCTCAGTGCCTCTGGTTCCAGCTTCCCGTCTTTGCTCCCTCCCCTCCTTTGGAGGTTGTGCCTTCAGCAGGACTCTTAATATCTGCTGCAACTTGGGGAACCTCCCTGCCCTGGAGTGTGAACCAAACATACCTTGGTTCCTTCTCCGGGCTGCTCTCTCTAAGACCCAGGGCTGCAGTCCCTCAGCGTTGATGGTATCCTGTGGGGCTAACATGGTCCGTGTTGCTTCTCTGCCCTTCATTGTCTCATCTAGACATCAGGCAGGGAAAATCCAGGGAGATTAAATTCACAGTGGCAAGTCCTGGGCTTTTCTGGTAAACGGTTCAGTTAGGGAGGAAGTAGAAACTATTGACTCAGAAGAGTTTCTAGCTGATCTGTGGCTTTGCCTCCACCATCCCTAACCAGCCTCTCATCACAGCTTTGTGTGTGGGCTGGGTGCTGGCCTTAACCCCAGGCGTGGAAGAGAAAATGTGAGGTCATTCAGATCCTCATCAGGACCTCACATGAGCTGAGTCGTTGCCCAGACTGTTCCTCTGACATTTGCACACATCTTACAGAAAACCCTCCTTGCAGAGTTGGTTGTGGTATGTGTTTGATGCTATAAAGCTCCTTTTTAATGTGTACACCTGCTCTAGGGGTGATTCCTTTGAAAGAGAGTAAGACACTAACAGAAACTATCCTGGGATTAGGTGAAAAATGTCTAGCGAAAGAAACAAAGTCTGTAATAGAGTGGCCTCTTTCTCTCCCCACTTGTGACTGCGGCAGTTTTACCCCAGCAGCCGGCTGTCTTTGTCAACCAGAGGTTCTTGGAGGTTAATTCTAGCACGTGTCACCCTGTCCACGTTGTTTCACAGCTGGTTAGGGGTCAGATTTTAAAAGGTAGTTTTGTAATGTTACCTTTAAACATGGTAAATGATTAGACTACCAGATGTTACTAGTGCTAACTTTGTATTCTTAGACATTAAAATGATTGACATAAACTCTTTGTGCCTTCAAAATGAAACAAATTATAAAAATGTTTAAATGGAACCAACCTCTTTTATTTTTTTTTTCATTTTGCATTCTCCATTCCCCATTTAGGTTTCCAGACATAAAACGAATGATATGGGCTTCCTTTAAAATGGTAAGGATGGGCCTGGCATGGTGGCTCCTATCTGTAATCCCAGCAGTTTGGGAGGCCAAGGTGGATGGATTACCTGAGGTCAGGAGTTCAAGTCCAGCCTGGCCAACATGGTGAAATCCCGTCTCTACTAAAAATACAAAAATTAGCTGGGTGTGATGGTGAGCACCTGTAGTCCCAGCTACTAGGGAGGCTGAGGTGGGAGGATCGCTTGAGCCTGGGAGGTGGAAGTTGCAATGAGCTGAGATTGTGCCACTGCACTCTAGCCTGGGTAACAGAGCGAGACCCTGTCTCAAAAATAAAATAAAATAAAATAAAATAAAATAAAATAAAATAAAATAAAATAAAATAAAAAATGGTGAGAGCAAGTTTGAACCCAAGATTGTGGGCATTTGAATTAGAGATAATCAGAACTTCAGTTGTGAATCACAAAGACATTTTAAAGAGCCCTCCAAAGACACATGTGAATGATTCCTGCCCAGGTGATTGGCATAGGCACCCTGCAGGGTGCTCCACTTTCACGTGAAATTGTAGGAAAGGGCTTGTTCTGGGAGGTCTTCCCCAGCCCCGCCCCAACTCTGCCATCAGCTCCGCTCCCAGCCCACACCCTTGATTCCCTAAAAAGCTTCACGTGTGTAAGGAGGTGAGAAATATTCAGTTCTACTGGACCAAAATCTTAATTACATTGTATTTTAAAAAACAAAATGCACTTGTTCTTCAAGACATAGCATACAAAATGCAAATATGGACAAATTCTTCTTTACAGGCTATGTGAACGTTTTTCTAGATGGAGAGGATTCCATTCTCTCTTCTAGTTGCCCAAGAGGCCCGAAAATTAGTTTATAAAAACCCAAACTTTACCTTTTTGTTTGTTTGTTTGTTTTGTTTTGTTTTGTTTTGTTTTGTTTTTAGATGGAGTCTTGCTGTGTTGCCTGGGCTGGAATGCAGTGGTGTGATCTCGGCTCACTGCAACCTCCACCGCACAAGTTTAAGCGATTCTCCTGCCTCAGCCCCCCGAGTAGCTGGGATTACAGGTGTGTGCCACCATACTGGGCTATTTTTTGTGTTTTTGGCAGAGACAAGGTTTCACTGTGTTGCTCAGGCTGGTCTCAAACTCATGAGCTCAAGCAATCCACCCACCTCACCTCCCAAAGTGCTGGGATTACAGATGTGAGCCACTGCGTCTGGCCTCCAAACTTCCGTTATAAACATGGAATGTCTTAAAGCAGGCTGGAGAGGAACGTGAGAACATCACAAGGTTCTATCTTGTGGATACTGCAGCAAACGGAAGTGCAGTGACATAATCAGCCCAAAAGAGGATGGTCAGAGACCAGAGGTCTCAGTAATTTCCAGTCTATAAGTCTATCTTTAGGAATTGAATACATGTTCAAGCCTTTCACCCCCAAGATAGGCAGACAGACACACACATACACCAGATACACATACATGCATACACATACACCATTGTCACAAACACACACTCCCACATACCCACAAGCGTACTCCCACAGACAGACATTCATGCACACCCTCCACCCACACTCAGCATGCAGGATGAGCTCTGTTCCCTCTCACCACCCCCCCGACCTGTAAGCAGTAACTCGCTCTTAGCACAACCCACCCAGCCCTCAAGTTTCCCCTTCCAGTGGTTCATAAGTAGGCTTTGGAAGAATTTTAGATGAATGGCTTTTTAAAAAAATTTTGAGACAGGATCTCACTCTGCCATCCAGGCTGGACTGCAGTGGTATGATTTGGGCTCACTGCGTCTCTGCCCGCTGCCCCCCGTATCCCCCACCGCAGGCTCAAGTGATCCTCCCACCTCAGACTTCCGAGTAACTGGGACTACAGACGCACACCACCACACCTAGCTATTTTTTTTTCTTATTTTTAGTAGAGAGAGGGTCTCCCCATGTTGCCCAGGCTGGTCTCAAACTCCTGAGCTCAAGCAATCCACCCACTGTGGCCTCCCAAACTGCTGGGATTACAAGCATGAACCATCGTGTCCAGTAGGCTTTTTTTTTTTTTTTAAACAAGAAAATCTCAGCCCTTTTTTTATTTTACAGTTAGGAGAACCAAGATGTTCTTCATTCTAAGCACACATAATTCACAAAACCCTAGGTACATGAAATGGATGCATTGGGGGATGCTGTTCATATGACAAAATGACTCCTCTTTCGTATAGTGGTGTAAGTCTAAATTATTCTGTGTGGCCAGTTTCCCTGGAGATGCTGGTATTTTGCTTTAATAAGTTACATGCATTTCAGGGCATGGCCACTTTATAAGGGAGGCGTGTGGCCCCTGGTCACAGAGGGACTGACTACACTATTCCCCAGTGCTTTTGCAGGTCTGGGGCATCTGGAAGCCCTTTCTGTTTCTGTGATCTCAGGGACCCAGCAGGGGTGGCACCCGCCATTGCAGCAGGTGGATCGACACAGTCATTGTTCCCGTTGCAGAGGGTCTTTGTTGAATCCTCTGTGAGCCTTGCCTCGAAGGAGGCTGTTTAGGCCAGGAGAATCAACAGCTGCCTGGGGAAGTGGCAGGTCAAGTCATGGTCCAGAAGAAATTGTGTTCAGCAGCATGGAGCTGCGTATTTGGAAGGAGGAAGCCATTTATTTTGGTTATAAGGTCTGGGTTGGGCCACCAATGGGACCTTATCCAACCTGCATTCATTTTACCCTTTTTCGGTACTGCCACAGTCTGTCTTACCCTAATGTTCTGGCTCTGGTGGCCCCTGGCTGTGTAAACTTGTCCTCTGGAAGAGAGGAAGAGAGCACTCTGGAAGAGAAGCTATTTTTCTTGATGACACCTCCCTCTCCCATCTTTTCATTGATGCCCTTCTGTGGTGGATTCTGTGATGTAGTCCTGGGTGAGTGGATAAGGACAGAGGACATCAGGAGCCTGCCTAAGATTCCCCATGGGTGAGCTGATCTGCTGGGCTCTGTTCCCCTGCAAAGCCCTCTTTCCAGATGGCTCACACTTGCA